TGCTACTGCATGTGAGGTTGCTGACCCAATAGAAGACTGACCTGCCAGGTGCAGAGGAGTGGGGGAGTTGGTGGAGAGTTGTTATTGTTGCAATATGAGCAGGATACTTGAGGCAAAGGATACAAATATATGCTAGTAAACTTCAGCATGCTTCTCTTCCACAGGCTTGTAGATTTCCTCAACCCCGGTCATGCAAAAGCTTCAGCATCATCACAGCCAATTTCATTTGTCTTTTTATTTGCTTATTCTGTCTTTCTAAAGAAGAGTAAAAATAAACAAACATTTTTAATGCAGATATCTTTCAGAGAAAGATTCTAGGCCAGTGGCTAATTTCTTGCTGTGCATTAAAAGAAAATGTGCCGAAAAAGATGGTGGGAAATATCTACATGGGTAGATCTGAAAGTGATGAATGAGTGCTAATTTGAATAAAAGTAGTTTGCTTTTTAGATCACTGCAGTCATAAAATCCATGTTTAAACATCCTAGGGTTCAGTTGGGGAAGACAGTGCATTACCTTCCAATATTATTTATTGATCAGCTAAGCAACAGAGTGAAAGATTTGATGGTGAGTAATAGAATATCTTTAATTATGTTTAACAGTTTTAACAGTAATCTTCACTGTTGTTTTAATTAAGATTTTTTTCATTGGTTGTTTGCTGTAATGAAAAAGTATAAATGCGCAAAAGAACTCAATGACAGTTTAACTTAATGAGATCAACTGTGGTACTGCAGAAGCTGGATCCGGGTTTGAGATTCCCTTCTGACAGAAGTATCTGCCAAGCACTGTCTTCTATTCTGCCAAAAGATATTTCGATTCCATTGTTTCTGCCTTTTGGGTGGATATGGAGGACATCACTGTAGCACCAGTTGTGGCAGAAGTCTCATGAGTGGTTTGACTCCCTAAGCTGAAGAAGTTGTGTTAGTATCCCAGAGTGGCTTCTGGTATTTTCTAGGGAAATAAACATATGCACATATCCACAGCAGATAGTGGAGTTACAAGGACATAAGTCAGTAGCTATTCTCTTAACTCCACAAAATTCACTTATGCTTAAATTTTCTGGTAATGCTCTCTATCATGTTAGAGCAACTTGAGCACCTGAAAGCTTGGTTTTGCAGTACGTCCAATGATTGTGTGCTCTTACATTAATCAGTGGAATTACAGAAGGATAAAACTGTATGAGAATTCTGGAGATTGCCAGTCCAGTGCCCCTTCTCAGAGTAAGATCACATGGAACAAGTTGCTCAGGACTTTCTCCAGCTGAGTTTTGGTTATATCCAAGGATGGAGGTGCTGTAGCCTCCCTGGGCACCTTATTTTAGTGTTCAGTCACTCCAGAAGTAAAAAAAAAAAAAAAGTAGAAAGAGGGGTTTTTTTCTGTATTCAGTTTTTGTCCAAGTCTTCTCTTGTAGGAAATTATGCAGTTCCTTTGCTAGGAGTTACACATGGCAGTCCCCTGTATCTAAAACATGTTCATCTTAGCAGCTCTTAGTTAAGCCTTGCAGTTCTTTTCAGTTGTACTGACAGGAATTTGGTAATTAGGAATCACTGGGACCAGCCATCTTGGGGAGTGTCTCAAAACTGTAAAATGAGTATGTTTGGATTCTTCATCTTCTAGATGGAAGCCTTGGTAGTTATAAACTTTCTATAGAACTTCTAAATTGTCTCTCCATTAATTTTAACTCAAAGAATTTTACTACTTGGGTATACTTTTGCAGTGTCTTTATTAGTGGTTGTTATCTTTTGTTTTAAGTTTTTTATCACAGATCATTCAGTTCAATACATTCATGTGAACTTCTAACTGATCAAGTCATGTACCCTGTTTACAAATAAATTCACATTCTCCTGTTACTAATGACATTCCTGCAGTTGTCATCAAGTCACTATTAATGCTATTGTAACTCACTCCCTTAAAGTCATTGAAGATCCTGAAAAGTGCTACAAAGACACTCCATTAAAACTAGCAAACTTCCCCTCCAGCACTGACTCATGGGACACCTCAGTAGTGACCGGCCACACTGCTCTCAAGCACTGCAGAAAGAGTGGTCTTGTAGCAAACATACTGTGAGATAATGAGGGGTAAGGGAAGAGCAGGGAAGAATAAGGGAAAAAGGTGGTACTGCTTTTGTGTAGCCAGCTTAACCTTTGGCTGTAAATAGGGGAGCAGATACTGTGTTTGCTATGCCAGACCTAAAGTCATGGAGCTGAAGATGCACTTTCTCCACTTGTGCTAGGCTGTGTAGATTGTGAACTATTATTTTGATCAAGATGTACGTCTTCTGTATTAAGTACTGCAGTCCAGAGGTGGTGTGTTCCTCATGTTTTTAAATGTGCTTGGCAGTGCTGGCATTTTGGGGATTGTGCAGAATTTAGTAAAGAGAAAACTTTAAAATTCATACTGCTGAACTTATTTGCCATGCTTACACACTGCTTTGTTGTATTGATTAAGTAGAGTGCTAGAAGTAATGTGTGATGCTCTGATGCTGTACTACGAGAATAGGTTGTATTGCAGAGGTTTGGTAACTTCGAGCTTTGAAAGGCTTAGCAACCATCACACTCACATTGAGGTTGTGAGGCAGCACTTGCGACTTTTATTTGTTCACTGAAAAAGAGTTAATGCTTCTGATCCTTCTATCTCCATTTAATTTGCTTTTGTTGTTGTAGAATTCCTGTCTCTGTCTTGTATTGCAATCTGATTTTCTCCCTATGCTACTCCTGACTTCTTTGTTTGAGGTATACATGCTGCATGTTGCCCACCCCGACACTTGTAAAATTTTTATTTCCTGTCTGTCCTCCACAGATAAAATTTATTTTCCTTTTCTCCCAGAAATGTTAATTGGTAGACTGAGCAGTTGGAATGAGAATATATAAATTACAGGAATCCTTTAAAAAGAAAAAAGCAGATGTTTATATAGTTTTTGGTAAACAACTGTAGAATCTTGGTAGCATTCCCTACAGTCAGCTCTATCAACATTGGTTTTACCCTGTTGTTTGTTTTTCCTTTGTTCTATTCAGTTCAGAGATTCCTGGCACTGTTCTAGTTTCTCAAGCTTTTCTGCTTTTCCTGCTGTATTCATAAAACTTACTCAGCTTCCCTTTGTATCCCTAGTACATCTGCATGTTCTGCCATGGTCTGAAAAGGCTTCCAGGGTCTTGGGAGGGTGGTGAGATTGAGATTCATTTGTACTCACTAAAGAAAAGAGTGAATAGGAGAGTAAATATAACCCCAGTTCACACCTGACTGATACATGGGGAGGCTAAAACCATTTTCTCTGTCACAAGAAGCAACCCATTCATCTTGGATAAGTGTCAGATAACTAATTACTGTAGAAACAGTGTAGAGTAGCAGGACTGAGATGGGAATCATGATTAGGAGTAATTAGGAGCCTGGAGCAATAGATCTTGGCAAATATCACCCCAATCCATAAAAAAGGCTGCAAGGCTGACCCTAGTAACTACAGGCCTGTCATCCTGACCTCGGTGCCTGGCAGAGTTATGGAGCAGATCATCCTGAGTGCAATTACACGGCAGCTACAGGATGGACAAGGGATCAGACCCAGCCAACATGGGTTTAGGAGGAGCAGATCCTGTTTGACCAACCTGATCTCCTTTTATGATCAGGTGACCCACCTGGTGGATGAGGGAAAGGCTGTGGATGTGGTCTATCTGGACTTCAGCAAAGCCTTTGACACTGTCTCCCATAATATACTCCTGGAAAAGCTGGCAGCCCATGGCTTGGACAGGGGCACTCTGTGCTGGGTCAGGAACT